TCTCTCTCTCTCTCTCTCTCTCTCTCTCTCTCTCTCTCTCTCTCTCTCTCTCTCTCTCTCTCTCTCTCTCTCTCTCTGTATCTCTCTTGTGCTCTCTCTTGTGCTCGCTCTACCTCTCTCTCCCTCGCTTGCGCATCTCGTCTTTCTCACAGAGGCCAGTATTCAGTCTTTCACTCTCCGATCACCGTGCTATTCCTTTCTCGTGAGATTCCACCTGCTCTAAATCTCTTTCTTCTTCTTCTTCTTCTTTTTGTTTTCTTCTTCCTCTTCTTCTTCGTCTTCTTCTTCTTCTTCTTCTTCTTCTTCTTCTTCTTCTCTCTCCCTCTTGCATAGGTTCATATGGTGTGGGATACGTGACATTCATGGGAGAGGAAACGATAGCCAGTCCATGGACCAATCAGCCAATCAGTCGTTCAATAATCAATCAATCGGACAGTCAGTCAATCAACTAGTTGATCGATCGGTCTATAAATCAACCAGTTAGACCAGTGAATCACTTGATTAATCAGTCCATCAATCATCGGTCTATCAATACCTTGTTAATCAGTTTATCAGGCAGTCCAACATTTGTTTGATTAATTGTTTGATTGTTTGTTTGATTGATTGATAAATTGATTGCTTTGATGCGTTAAATTGAGCCATCGGTCTGGACTAAAAAGAACATCTGAATGCCTACCTCTGATCACTTTGTGTAGGAGTCGATCGATCTATCGGAGTGAATCGATCGATGAACTAAGTTTTCGCACATCTAATCAATCAATCAATCAATCAATCAATCATCAATTAGGCAATTAGTCATTGGAGCAACCAATAAAGCACTTGATTGAATCGATTAACATCTCGGTCGCGACGATCTCACCCCGGCTGCGCACATCAACTTAGTTCTTGATTGCCTCTGATATATAGAACGGATGTGCATGCACATCAACTGCGACTTCTACCCCACCGTTCTCACAATGCCCTCACAAAGAATGGCTGTTATGTGAATTTAAATTTAAACTTATATTAAAACATTATCTTTTGGAGTCGGCTTGAGGAACGAAGTCGGCAACTGCTTAGTAATATAATAATTTAATAAATTATCTAAGAAAAAAAAAATAGTAATCCTTATTTTTGCTTGCGATTTACTCGCGCTGCTGGTCCCCTGCCCCTGCTACCGGTGTTTGCCTGCTCATCACGTACACATTGTCTTCGTTGTTCGATGTCGACGACGATGAAGATGATGATGATGATCTTGATGATGATGATCAAGATGATGAAGATTATGATGTTGATGATTGTGATGATGATTGTGATGATGACTGTGATGAAGATTGTGATGATGATGATGATGATCGTGGTGGTGGTGGTGATGATGATGATGATGATGATGATGATGATGGTTGTACTGAGATGGTGGCGTCGTTGATAATCGTGTTGTGGGTGATGATAATGGTGTTCGTTTGTTTGTTTCTTGAATGGTTCTTCAGACGGAAGACGTCCTCCCTACTCTAGAGGAGCAGGGGCTTCGTCAGCTATATCCTAAAGGGGTCAACGTAGGTACGTATGTTCCTGTTTGAGGAAAGGCGCTTTTTTTTTTTTTTTTTGTTGTTGTTGTTGTTGCTGTGTTTTGTTTCCAAACGAAAAGATGAACGACGGCACTTAAACCCCATAAAAGCTAATACTCTTAGGAGCGTCAAGGCTTCGATCCCTCAACCCCCCTAAACCCCAAAGACCAAAAATTCTTAAGAGTGTCAAGACTTCAAACCCTCCCCCACCTCTCCCTCAACCTCTCCCCTCCGGTCAACCGCCCTCAATACCCCTCTCATACCCCCTCAATTAATCCCCCTGAGTACCCTCCCAACCCCCTTCAATTACCTCCCTCAAAACCCTTGGAACGCTGAGCATGATGAGTACGTTGATTAGTATCTTGAGGACACTGGGTTTGATCACATCAACGCCCAATAAGGTGCAGGTGTGGGAGAAGGTGGGAAGGGGGGAGGGAGGGAGGGGGGGGGGGCGGGGGGGGGGGGGGGGGGGAGGGAGGTTGTGCTTCGTCTCTTCTTGATGACCTTACCCAGACACCATGAAACACATCTCGCTTTGTTTTTCTTTTTTCCTTTTTCCCTTTTTCTTGGGAATGTATCTTAACCCTGTTTGCTCGTCTGCACTCATATAAATTTGCTCGTGTGGTCTCTCTCCCTCCCTCCCTCCCTCCCTCCCTCTCTCTCTCTCTCTCTCTTTCTGTGGATGGAATTGCTGTGGCGAGTCATCCTGTCACTTGGTGGGCAGGGAGATGGGTATATATGGGTATGGTGCGGTCAGACCTTGTGGCTATGGTGTGACTGTGTGTGGGATATGGAGGAGAGTGTGGACAGTGGTGGGGGTGTTGGGTGCGGTTGGGGGCTACAGCAAAAAGGGGAGATTGATTGCATGTCTGCGCTATTTTCCCAGATTTCAAAAAAGAGTTGAAGGCCTTGAACAGAGAGTTGCTCTTCAATTTTCTGGAGCTCGCCGATGTTTTGGTTGACAGACCCTCACAATATGCTCGAAGGATTGAAGACATCGGTCTCATCTTCCGAAACATCCACCATCTTCTCAATGGCTTAAGACCCCATCAGGTATTGTGCCTTCTTCTTCTTCGTCGTCGTCCTTCCTTCCTTCCTTCTTCTTCTTCTTCTTCTTCTTCGTCGTCGTCCTTCCTTCCTTCTTCTTCTTCTTCTTCGTCGTCCTTCCTTCCTTCTTTCTTCTTCTTCTTCGTCCTTCCTTACTTCTTCTTCTTCCTTTCTTCTTCTTCTTCTTCTTCTTCTTCTTCTTCTTCTTCGTGGTTCGCTCTTCGTCTTCCTCCTTTGGTTTTCTTCATCTTCTTCGGCGCGTGAGCTGAGACGAGTATGCGCGGCTATGTAATGAAGAGCTTTCGATGCGTGTACGAAAGGCAGTTGGCCACTGTTTTCCACTCTTCTTCTTCTTCTTCTTCTTCTTCTTCTTCTTCTTCCTCTTCTTCTTCTTCTTCTTCTTCTTCTTCTTCCTCTTCTTCTTCTTTCTACTTCCTCTTTCTACTTCTTTTTCTTCTTCGGTCTTCTTCCGTCCTTGTTCTTCTTCCTTCCGTCTTCCTCTTCTTCTTCCTCTTTCTCTTCCTCTTCTTCTTCTTCTTCTTCTTCTTCTTCTTCTTCTTTCTACTTCTTTTTTTTCTACTTGCTTCGGTCTTCTTCCTTCCTTTTTCTTCTTCCTTCCGTCTTCCTCTTCTTCTTCTTCTTCTTCTTCTTCTTTTTTCTTGTTCTTGCTCTTGTTGTTGTTGTTGTTGTTGTTCTTCTTCTTCTTCGTCTACTCATTTCGGGGCCTAACTTTCACCCCCAGTCAGCTTAGCCGTTTGGTTGAGCTCCCTACTCCTCTTTGGGAGGTCGCGTGTTCGGTTCTTGGGATCGGCTCGTGCATGTCGGACTTCTTCTTCTTCTTCTTCTTCTTCTTCTCCTTTGGTTGAGCGTCCAACTCCCATGTTTCGATTCCTGTGATGATTTGTTCGGTGGTTAGTTATGGGGTCCGTAGCCCCAGGCCCGCTGTGATGCGTAGCCTGGAGCCCGTTCATAACCGCATGGGCGTGAAGTGTACTGGCGGGAAAAGAAATGAAAGTTTGGAGCTGGGGCCTGGACCCACTAGCGAAGTATTCTACGACGTGTGACACAGTTTTATGGTTTTTTGGAAAATACAAAGTGATTTTTTATTTGCATGAATGGATCGTTTTCTGATTTAAAATGAATTGAAATAGCACATAAAACTATGAAGAACAGCTGTGCACCCGAATTCATGGGTTGGTGCTATCTCCTTCACGTAAGTCTTCATAGTGATGTACCGTGGCAATACACTGTGTCCACGAACACATTCATGAGGATGAACAAGTAACGGGTATTGGGATACATTCCTCGCGATGTATCTCATGATGCCTTTAGCAGGCCATCCGACAGACGCGGAAGCGTTCCTGTCAGATGCACCACAATATTCGAATTTCACATTTCGAGTTCTATTTCTCAGAGTCAAAAAAAAAAAAAACGAAGTCTGGAAATCACCCCCCCCCCTTTAAAGCCCATAAAATCCAGACTTCCCGCCCACGCAAAGCCACGAACTATCATGCCCAAGTTAGTCCAGCTTCGTTTTTTTTTTTTTTTCCGACGCATCTCATTGGACGGGAGGTGGGCATCTTTACAGTCCCCCCTCGGAAACTACCCGGCCGTCGAGATCCGATCGATTCGACGGCCGTACTGAGTCACTCGATGCCACACGTGATCGAGATCCTGAACGGCGTGGTAGAATACCTTGCTAGTGGGTCCAGGCCCCTGGGCAATTCGAATTTCCACGAACGAAGTAAAAACAAAATAAAAAAAAAATAAAAAAATAAAAAAATAAAAATTTCCACGAATGATCGGGGGGTAGCACTTTACAGACAGGTAGCAGCTGACACGTATATAGTGCCCGTTGGCGTGAATAGCATGGTCTTTGTGATATCGGTGGAGTAGGCTCCAGCCTGGTCGCTCGAGCATGATTTAGTCCTTCCTATTAAATATACCGGCACACAGGCACTGATGATCTGGGGCCAAGTCCCACTTTTGGTAGCAGCGTTGAGCTACCTCAACGTCTCAATGCGGACGTTTTTGCGGAGATGTGCAGAAATGGTGTTGAGTTTCCTGAACTGCACGTCTCCACAAACACGTCCAGATTCAGGCGTTGAGGTAGTTCAACGCTGCAAATGGGACTTGGCCCCTGGGCGCGGAATTTGTTAGCAGGCTTGGAAATAATTTTCGAGAAATTATAATGAAACTACGCTACTTCTCCAAAAAAAATAATAAAAAATAATAAAAAATAAATTAAAAAAAATCGAGAAATGGCTATCAGCTATCAGCCCGTATCGACTGTAATTTGAAATTTGTAGTACCTGCTTAGTTGGTAGTACCCGTAGGATTTCCCTATTTCCTCTCCTTGCTCGGAACTTGGCAGTCATCTTCTACTGGCTAACGTCTTCACCCCAATAGGACGCCCGGTCATTATAGCTGTATTTGATGCATTTTTCAGTCCAGATACGGCCATAATTACCGGGCGTTCTATTCGGGTGAAGACGGTAGTACCCGCCCTGCTTCAGAATATCTGCAGGCGGGAAGGAAACAAAAAAAAAAAAAAAGCATCGAAGCATCAACGACGCGGGCAAATTTCAAATTGTTGCGACACAATGCTGGCTCGTAGAATTTTTTTTTTTTTTTTTAAATGCCGGCCCGTAACGGACTACTGAGTAGGACGACAACGCCGCGCGGAGAGTGTAGGCATAGGTAGGCGATCTGTATTACGTAATTTGAGGGGGCAAGGCCGTCGGCCCAATGGCCTTCAATTCTCAGATGGTTCGGTTCGGATGGTAGGTGGTGCCGTAAGGCGATCTTGGGAGAAGGCCCCTGATGAGTGCCAGGTGCGCTTCCTGGCGGAAACGTGCGTATAGGGCAATGAGCGAGTTTTCTGTTGAAGCATGTGCGAGAAGAGCAGAGTGTGGCCGCTGTTTCCACTATTCTGTGATGCGTAGTATCCGGATGAGAAAGCGTACGCGTACTCGTGGCTATGTCGACATGGTGGCCACGTTGATAGTTAATCTGAGTTCATAGGTTAATCTGAGTTCATAAGTATATTCGAGCTCGTAAATTATGTAATACATGTGTTAGGCTGAGATCTAGGTACAAGTACATGCATGCATGCTTGCTTACTTCTCTAGTACTTACGTACTTAGAAGTACATGCATGCATGCTTGCTTACTTCTCTAGTACTTACGTACTTAGACGTACATGCATGCATGCTTGCTTACTTCTCTAGTACTTACGTACTTAGACGTACATGCATGCATGCTTGCTTACTTCTCTTGTACTTACGTACTTAGAAGTACATGCATGCATGCTTGCTTACTTCTCTAGTACTTACGTACTTAGAAGTACATGCATGCATGCATGCTTGCTTACTGCTCTAGTACTTACGTACTTAGAAGTGCATGCATGCTTGCTTACTTCTCTAGTAGCATTGAGAGGAGCTGTTAGTCTTTGAGGAGGAATAGCGTCAGACTGGAGTAGGTGGCAGAGACATGGCAAACGCTGGCGCGCCGGGAGGTATTATTCCCCCTGGTCAGTGTTTTAACTGTGGACAGACAGGGCATTTTGCCCGGGACTATACTACGGCAGGGAAGCGGGGACGAGGTGCTTTCAGCAACAACCCGTCATACTGGCAATCCAGGCAACAGAAGGACGAATATTTTCGAAGGATTATGGAGTGGACAGACATCCAGATTAAGAAGGAACAGGAGGAGGATGAGAGAAAGAAAGCTGAGGAGGAAAGGCGGAAGATGGAAGCTGAACGATGGAAGGCACACCTGGAACGAGAGCAGAGGGAGGAACGCGTGAGGCGAATGATAGAGGACACGGAGAGAAGGTGTGTTCAGGAGATGGAGCGAGTGACACGATGGGCGGAAGAATCGGCGATGAGGACCATTGCTGCTGTGGCAAGGGTCTTGCGTGCCTTCAAGGCTGAAATCTGGATGGAGGTTAAGATGACTATTGCAATGAACGTGAAGACTCCGAGGAGAGACAGAGACAGAGACAGAGGCAGGAGCGTGATGGAGAATGGCTTCGAAGCTTACCTACTCATGGATGAAGAGTCACACACGGATGAAGGAAGGTAACTACATCCAAGGAAGAGAAGAGGCAAGAGGACAACCCGTAAGTATGGGAAAGAGACAGAGAACGAAGAAGAAGAAGAAGAAGAAGAAGAAGAAGAAGAAGAAGAAGCGAGAGAGCAAACCAGGGAGGAGTATGCAGCTTGCTTGAAGAGAAAAGCCTCCAGTCCGCTGTCCATCAAGTTTGCTGAGGAGGAGTACGGAGTCAATCTGAAGAAGAAAAAAGCCTCTACTCCACTGTCTGCTAAGTCGGCATTTCGTGAATGTTTTGGTGCGTCCTGTATTAAAAACGGCGGTCTAGTGCAGACAGTATTGGAAACACGGGCGAGGCTGATGCGTAAGGATTTCCGTGTGATTAAAAAACTTTGTGAAGAGAGAGACATCACTTACGTAACGAAAGAGCAAGGCGTTCGAGAACTCGTAAAAAACTTTGTGAAGAGAGAGACATCACTTACGTAACGAAAGAGCAAGGCGTTCGAGAACTGGTAATTTGCCTGGTACTCGCTGGTGAAGAAGTACTGTAAAGGAGTGGATACTGAGGCTGATCAGCGACAACAAGATGACCAATCGCAATGATGGGGTCTCTGCCCCCGGGGGGCTAGGTCCCACTTGCACGAACTAAGAGATACTGACCGTAGATAGCAAAGATCAACGGCCGAAATCTCCTAATTTGCGCAAGTGGGACCTTGGCCCCGGACGGGATAAGCAGAGGTGGAGAACCACCTGCACGAGCCTCCTTAAGCTGCGACGAGAAGCTATCTGGGGCCATCATAACATAGTAAAGGTTTCTCTAAACTCAGGTTACAAATTGTGCGGGCACTTTCAGCCAGCTGTTATTATATGGTATTTCTCTAAACTCACGCTTCGCGGGCAAATACCGTGGGCGAAGACGCTTATATCGGCCTACCGTCTTCACCGGAATAGAAC